AAAAAAAAAAAAAAAAAGTTAAAAAAAATTAAAAAACAAAAAGGATATTTTGGACAGTTTTTGGTTTAAAAAACATGGCCAATGTAGATGGAATAAAGCAAAATGAGCTGGCGGTGTCAAGAAGTGTCTAATAGGAATCACAACATCTAGAGCGCTTCAGAGGATGAATAAGGGTCTGTGATCAGGGAATACAGGATCTAGATGATGAGGTGATTATTAAGGCAGAAGAAGGGAGAGGGAAAAGCAAAAGGGAGAAGAGGGTACAAGTGAATAAATGCCTTACAACGCTCAAGAGTTTGTTTCTGCTAACAGATCGTGCAGGTTCAAATCAGCCTCACCACATATTAGCTACGAGACTTTGGGCAAGATCTAAAATTTTCTGAGCTTCAGATCTCTATGTGTAAGACAAAGGTAACAACAGTACCCACCACCACATAAGGTTGTTGTAAATGCCAAATGAGTTAATATATAAAAAGCATGTGACATTCAGTAAGTATTCAGTAGGTGTTATCATTAGCTTTGCATAGTGCTTCACAATATATGGGGTGCTGCCATAATACATATTATCTTATACAACACTCACAGCAACCCTGTGTCATTATCCTTGTTTTAGAAATAGGGAGAAAGAGGTTAGATAAAATTAGCAACTAACCGAAACTCACAAAGCTAGGAAATTGGAGGGGTAGGACTATAGCTTATGCAGGCTTTTATATAACATAGGTGCCTCCTCTGCAATTTTGTGTTGGAGGTGAAGGTGTGTTTAGGAGGAAGGGAGAAAGAGGATGGAGGAAATGGATTTGTAAATCCATGGAAAAGAAGAGTCACCGTTTAGCTAGGGCCAGCTCAGATCTTCCTAAAGACTCTTATCTTTTCTCCCCATGGTTTCCTTTTCTGATTTATTTATTTTTAGCTTCAACAGACATATAGATTGAATCTTAGTCAACCTATCCCTTGCATCATCGACAAAAAGCAGATACCTGCCTCTACCAAATCTGTTCAACAATCATTCCTAGAGCTGCTAATAGAAGAAGACAGAAAGTCTGACACATTGAAGAAATTTCGGTATGTGGTAGGAAAGACTGACATTAAACCTTCTCTGGACAACATGTGGGACCTCTTGCTTTTTTTTTTTTTTCCTGTCCAAGAGCTTCTCCTTCCCCTCAATTATGATGTGGTGCAGTGGAGAGTCTAAGGTAGTATTACTTTTCTTAGCTAATTTAACAAGAGGCTTACTTACATATATTTCTACTTAAATATTTAACATCTAATTTTGAGTTCCTTTTTTTAAAAACTGATGCTGGTCTGCTCCTTGCCTGCTCTTTTCCAGGGGTGATGTAGGTCCAGTTTTCTTTTTAGTGACTCCCCTTCATAACAATTTCAAGACTGGGGCTCTCTTGCCCCTACAGGTGACATGACAATAATGGTCCTGGAGGGAGACAGACTGATGGCATCCCTTCTTTATAATGTTTGGGTGCCTCATCTCACATGCATGGGCTTACTCCAAAGATTCAACTAGGAGTTTAATTTTCCATGTCATTAATTGTGAATGCTAAAGACTTTAACTAACTCATTGGATGAAGCATAACTTTTTGAATAAAGTGTTAGAATTTCTTTTCCCATACTTTTGAACTTATATCTAACTGAATCATAACTAGTGTCAATAGATTTTTTCAGATGAAAGGTTAATTTCATTAATCATATGAGGACATACATTTATAGATTTGTGGAACATTTGTTAATTTGTGATATTCTACTTGAATGTGAATTGTTTTATTTTTGCCCACTTAATTCAGTTCAACTTTAAATTTAAATTAAATTAAGTTAATAAAGCTGGTCTTGCTAAAAAATGAAGCTTATTCTTTTTTTTTTTTTCAAAAAAAATTTTAACGTTTATTTTTGAGACAGAGAGAGAGAGAGCATGAACAGGGGAGGGTCAGAGAAAGAGGGAGACACAGAATCTGAAGCAGGCTCCAGGCTCTGAGCT